TTCTTTTTCTTTTTTGGTAGTGCTAGAGTTTGAATTTAGGGCTTGCTCAGCTGATGGTCTACTCACTTGAACTTTCATGTCTCTAGCCCTGCTTTTTGCTGGTTTAGAGACAGGGTCTTGAGGACTTTTTTGGCTTTGAACCATGATCCTCAGTTCTCAGCCTCCTAAGAAGCTAGAATTACAGATGTGAGCCACTGGTGCCTGGCTTCTTAACATTTATTTCTGTGAGGTCTTGAAGTTTTCATCAAGGTCTTGCAAGCTGGGTGCTAAAGACTCATGCTTGTAATCCTAGTTACACAGGAGGCTGAGATCTGAAGATCATGGTTCAAAGCCAGTCTGGGCAGGAAAGTCTCTGAGACTCATTATCTCCAATTAACCACCAAAATTGGATAGCAGAGCTGTGGCTCAAGTGGTACTAAGACTTGAGCAAAAAAAGCTCAGGGACAGGACCCAAGCCCTGAGTTCAAGCCCTAGGACCAGCACAAAGGGGAAAAACCCCAATATTGCACATTTGTTGTACAAGCTGGCTCTTTACTATGTACAGGAATTGGAAGAAAAGGCTTTCTAACAAATGTAGGGAAAATAGGAGAAAGACTGAGAAATTAGCAATGGCGCCATTAACCAAACCGCCTTGGACCATCTTGGGAGAGAAATGGAAATGAGTCAGTTATTAACCTATAAGGATTTGGTTAAAGGAGACATGTCTCCACAGAACATTCAAGAAGACTAAGAAGGCACTCCGAGTGCAGCAGGGTGGAGGATGGTATAAGGACGTATAAGGATGGTAGTGTCGGGCTGGGAAGGTGGCTCAGTGGTAGAGTGCTTGCCTTGCATGCATGAGGCCCTGGGTTCAATTCCTCAGCACCACATAAACAAAAAGAAAAAAGCTGGAAGTGGCGCTGTGGCTCAAGTGGTAGAGCGCTAGCCTTGAGCTGAAGAGCTGAGGGGCAGCGCCCAGGCCCAGAGGATGGTGTTGCCTATTGTTAAATCAGGGAAGGGTCAGGTGACACCTGAGTCTGCCTCACAAACTTCTGCAGGGGCGTCGGAGCCTGTGGCTCCAGTGCAGAAGTGAGACAAGTGGCTGTGGGGATGGCCATTTCGCTGGTGTGAGCCTAATGTGTTTGAAACGCACACACATGCACACGCACGTGGACATCCTCTCTTCAGAGAGAAAAGCCTTTTGCTGCTGGTTCCAGGCTGTGGTTCTCTAGTCACACTGACCACAGGTGTTTTTAAAACAACCCAAGTTCCACTGACTCTCACTTCTGTGGCAGTGACACCCCCAGGAGTCTGGTGTCATTAATGCTTCGTGGACGTAGTCTTCTTCAGGAGAGAACGCTGCCTTCTCAGTTACCATGGACTGACAGCTAACATTTAACGAAGACAAATGCTTAATTAAACCACTACAAAAAAGCTGTGGATTTAAATAGCTGGACAGTGTGGAGTATAAGTTGGTACAAGGTCTATATAGGGCAAGTCAGCTTTAACTTTATTAAAAGGTCGAGTGTCTTTGAATTAGCAGCTGTGCTCTGGAATTTTCCCCAATCCATCCATGTGAGCATGACAAATAAGTTATACACAACACAGGACAGAGCCTGGTCATCTGCCTCCAGATACTCTGAAAGGGAGAAAGTGAGGAAGAGGAAAAGGCAGCAAGGATTTCAGGAGTACTGAACACATAGTCATGCTGCTCCAGGGATGCCAGGTGAGAAGGCTCAGCTGGAAAGACGCACAGCCCCAGAGACGCCTGGTGTGGAAACACAGTGAAGGCAGCACACTTCCCATTTATACACTTCCAATGTGCAATAGTGTCAACCTACCGAAACCCATCATCAGAGTTGCAGGTTGTAACAATATTCCTAGTTTTCACAATTTAGCACTAAAGTTATTGTTTTTAATTGGAAATACTCCTTCTTGTGAAAAAAAAAAAAAAAGGTGAGGCTCTGAGGCTCATGGCAGATCACGTAATGTACAGGAGTACCTAGGATGGGGTGAGGCTGAGACCTCACAGCAGATCCCTAATGTACAGAAGTACCTAGGACAGGGTGAGGCTCTGAGACCTCACAGCAGAACCTCTAATGTACAGGAGTACCTAGGACGGGGTGAGGCTGAGACCTCACAGCAGATCCCTAATGTACAGGAGTACCTAGAACAGGGTGAGGCTCTGAAACCTCACAGCACATCTCTAATGTACAGGAGTACCTAGGACAGGGGGAGGCTCTGAGACCTCACAGCGGATCTCTAATGTACAGGAGTAACCAGGATGGGGTAAAGCTTGGGAAGTAGATGAAGACATGCTCTCCAACTCAGTAGATCACAGAGCCAGTTTTAGGTGAAGTTATGTAATCTTGAAGTCAGGGTAGGAAAATAAACACCTGCCACTCCTTCGGTCAGTCCTGTGAGGACATGGCTGTCACTCATCTTCACTCTTTAACCCTCACTCTGTGGGCTCACCACAGGGACTTGGCTGTGGTGGTGCCCGAGAGACTGGCAAAGCTGAGGAGCAGCACTGACTCCTCATACCACACTGCACAGCAGACTGGCCGTGGGCTTGGCGCAGCCTTGTATGGGTCCAACTTGAGTCCCACTGGTTCCTGTGAGGCCTGGTGGGTCCTTCATGGGTCCTCAGTGGAGCTCCCAGCAGCTCCTTGTGCGGTTGAAGCTCCCTGATCCCGGAGAGAAGGTCTCTCTAGGACAGACCATACACGTTCACACATGCTGGCTCCTACTGTGGAGGTGCCATGACCCACGCCAGAACTCCCAAGAAACACAGATCCACACAGCACACATTCAACTCTCTCAAACCTAGGATGCAAAATAAAATGAGCAGATGATCCGAACAGATACCTTTCAAGAGAAGAAGTCCAAAAGGACAACAACTATATGAAATAATGTTCCACATCTTCATCCGGCAGGGAAATGCAAATTAAAACTACGCTAAGATTCTGCATCATCCCAGTCGGAATGCAACCAGCAAGAAAACAACAAATGCTGACTAGGGACCCACGTACATAGCTGGTGGGAATGTGAACTAGTCCAGCCAGGAGGGAAATCTGTACTGAGCTTCCTCAAAAACTAAAATTAGACCCACCATAGGATACTGCTGCACCACCTCTGGGTATATACCAGAAGGAATGAAAGTCAGCTGCTTACAGAGACCTGAACACCCATGTATGTGGCAGCACCGTGAATTAATATTCACCTAAGGAGTCAGCCTATTAAGAGTATTTAGCAACAGCTGAATGGATAAGTACAATGTAGCATTTATACATGATGGAGAATTATTCAGCCATAAAGGAGACTGAAGTCATGTCACATGCAATGAATGAAACTGGAAATCATTGGGTTAAGCATAATGAGTCATGCTCAGAAAGCCAAACATCACATTCTCTCTCCTGTGGAAACCATGGCCTGCCCGCCCAGCACAACTGGCCACATGTTGGAAAAACCCCAGTATGTTATGAAAGAAGAGAACCTTGCCTTTCCAATGTAGATCAGTTTGGCCTTGTGGGCTCCTGATGGTATGGGAACTCCTAAAGTTAAAATATGTGTGCTGAACTATTTTGGGGGAAACGGCAGATTTCCGATGACTATGTATGAAGAGGTGGAGACACTCAAGAGAGGAGGGGGGTGTGAGCACCTGAGGTGGCCAGGAGGCACAGGGGCCCCAAAGCCACAGCTGCAGTCTGGATCCTGAAAATCTCCACAGCTGAAATTGGAAGAACACATGAGGGTGTGTGTGTGTGTGCGCGCACACACACACCGGTGCTAGGGCTTGGGCTCAGGGCCTGGGTGCTGTTTCCAAGTGGTTTTTTGTTTGTTTGTTTGGTTTTTTTTTTGTCAAGGCCTGTGCTCTACCACTTGTGTCACAGCTCCACTTCTGGCTTTTTTGCTGATTAACTGGAGGTAAGAGTCACATGGACTAGCCTGCCTGGTCTGGCTTTGAATCCCGATCTTCAGATCTCAGTTGAGTAGCTAGGATCACAGGTGTGAACCACTCATGTAGGGCCACAATGCTATTTTAAAAGAAAACAATCAACATGTCCTGGTTACATTATTTCAGACAGGAAAATTAACCCTCTTATTTGAGGTGAGGCGGACAACCTGGCCACTGTCTCACTTAAAGTTAGTCTAATGTTCTTAAAAAGATCTAAAAACAACTCTTAAAGTTGCTAATACAGTTAGGGAGGTAACTAAGCAACAATTGTGACAAGCTGGGCTCTGTATTTACCTAGATTAGGAAATACACTCACCTGACAAAGTTATTCATAGTTCTCAGGTAGCAGGATGTGGTGGCACATACCTGTAATCGCAAGTTTCTTAGGGGGTAAAGGCAGGAGGATCAGGACTTTGAAGCCAGCCTGGACAAAGTTAGTGACACTCTATCTCAAAAACAAAAATGCAAACAAAAAGGCTGGTGATGTAGCTCAGTGCTTGGTACTAGAAGAAAAAGTTCATGGGCTGGGAAGCTAGCTCAGTGGTAGAGCGCTTGCCTTGCATGCATGAGGCCCTGGGTTCGATTCCTCAGCACCACATAAGCAAAAAGAAAAAAGCCAGAAGTGGCACTGTAGCTCAAGTAGTAGAGCGCTAGGCCTTGAGCTGAAGAGCTGAGGGACAGCACCCAGGCCCAGAGTTCAGGCCCCACAACCGGATTCCCCCCCGCCCCAAAAAAAAAAGAAAGAAAAAGTTCATAGGTGTTTAAAAGTTCTAATTATTTCTTCCAAAAAAAAGGGAAAGAAAGTGAACCATAATCCTCCATGCCACAATACAAATTGAATTTTAGCATGAGTCTTTAAGCAGTTACCCATGTTCTTAATGATCCCGAAAACTCTTCAAGAAGCTGCAAGCTGTGTTTTCAACCAACTCAGTGTAGATCCCAAACTATGATGTTCTCATTTTCACATGTGTGGATCTAAAAAAACTATAATCTCAAGTCTAAATGACCTTTATAACCTTTTCCTAGAAAATTAGTTCTCCTAAAGGAGACATTAAGAGGTTTTTGAAAATGTAATGTTTTGTAGGATGTATTCATACATTTTCCATGAATTGTCCAAAACCAAACCACTTCCGTCTGTTTCTCCGAGGTGGGGACATCACTGATCGCAGGCACTGAGGTCTGGCGTCCAGCAACATTTGTTTATTGGTTACAGGATAAGGAGGACACAGTGCAACACAGGATCTGTGGTCTCCTTACAGCTGGCTTATAAGACAGTTCACAGGAAACCCACTTTCCATTGCATTTTGGATGCTAGCCAGTGACTACTGATCTGGCGTTTTGAGTGTGGAACACACCAACAGTGTAGAATGGAATAAGCAGAATTAAGTAAGTAGTGCACTGATTAGTGGTGCCAGAGTCCTTACCTATCAGGTCATAAATATAACCAACACGCTGAGAAAAAAAACACACCTCACTCACCAATTTCAGTTCCTGTGATTAAAAAAATTAAACATTTAGCGCAATTTTCTATCCTATCATATATCAGATACATGCCTTGGAAATGTGCAAGATGTGTTTGGAACAGAGCTACAACGGAAATGTCAGGTGGGAGGGAAGGTGCGGCCAGAGTTCTACATACAGGTTACATACATGAACATGTTTAGTAGAATTGTCCACTGAGTTTCCACACACATGTACACATCTGATGATACTGTCCATCGAGTCAGAGTTATTACACAGAGGCCGGGCCATCCTCCAGCGGGCATTGCTGTTTCCTCACAATGATCTACTGCACAGAGTAGAAAAAGATGGCAGGAAAAACATCAGATTCTTCACCTTCCAGCAGCTATGTCCTGATACCATGGTAGAAACTGGAAAACATTAGCAACAATTAGAATTCTGTATGGTTGTAACTGCAAAATTATATATATATATATATATATACATACATACATACATATGTATGTATGTAGATAGATAGCCGGAGCCTGAATTAATGAACATCTCTTGTTGAATGGTTACTTACACATGCTAGATAATGCTAACTATAAGAAGTCCATAGCAATAAATAGAAAAGAGGAAGCTTTGAAAAGTTAAATGGAAAGTTTGTTGGTTTTAGCAAGAAGCCATTCGTGGAGGCCTCCTCCGTGAAGGGAGGAGGGTTCCAGCCTAAGATCCTTGGCCCAGGCTGCCCATCCTGCCTTCCCATCCTGCACAGCGTAAGTCCCGTGCTCACACTGTCCTCTCCCGTCCCGGCGGCTTCCTGTCCGCCCTCCTCCTCCTCCTCAGTCAGGCACCCACCTTGCGTCGCGGCCTAGCAGCCGCATTCCTGTGCACTGGGGGCCTGTGTGCGTCTGGGGGACCGCAGCTGTCTCAGGGCAGCATCGCCGTACTGGATGCCAGAGCCCATTCTCTCAGGGTCCAGCTCACCTGAGGACCACACAAGCATTTTTAGCAAGAATGGTCACAAATGCTGTGGTCCCCAAACTAGCAGATTCAGAGCACCAGGCACGGAGGAAAGAGGAAGAACACAAACCTGTGCTTGTGTGGGAGCTATGTATCACTGGTGGTGGTGGGGTAGTCACAGGACCAGTGACCCATCCCACTTCAAAGAGTCTGCGAGGCTGGGGCGGGGTGGGGGGCGGAGGGGGCAGCAAGCAATCGAGGGGGACTTTTATTGCATACTCTTTTTTGGTCCATTGTACGGTTTGAACTTAGGGCCTGAGTGCTATCCCTGAGCTTTTTTGCTCTTTGAGCCACAGCTAACTGGAGATGAGAATCTCATGGACTTTCCTGCCCAGGTTGCCTTCAGACTGCCACCCTCAGATCTCAGCTTCCTGAGTAGGATTACAGGTGTGAGCCAACAGCGCCTGGCTTGCATACTCTTCATATTGTTTGCATTTATACATTCATAATATGAATATGTTATATATACACAAAAAAGTCAACGTAAAATTAAACAAAGCGGAACATTGTTCCCCCACTAGAAGCAGTTCTGTTAGTACACGCTGAACATTGCTCTTCTGTGCAGCCATGATTGGGAGAATGGGACAAGCCCTACCAGCCCCTCCTCGAGGACCACATTCCCTGGGTTCAGCTTAATCTGTCCTGGGGCTTGGACTCAGGGCCTGGGTGCTGTCGCTGAGCACTTTTGCTCAAGGCCAATGTTCTACCACTTGAGCCATAGCTCCACTACGAGCTTTTTGGTTAACTGGAGATAAGGGTCTCATGGGCTCTTCTGCCTGGGCTGGCTTTGAACCGTGATTCTCAGATCTCAGCCTCCAGTGCCTAGCTTTGTTCAGCTCATCATGCTCCTAGGTAGACAGGGCAGCCCAAGCTTTCCTTGGTCATACCAGGATCCATGCACCTGCCCCCAGTAGTTGGTCCTCACAGAGCTGCCAGCCTGGCTCCCCAGCCCCTACCTGTTCTCAGAGGCTTCCCCTGCATGGACAGCAGTTGTGGAAGTGTCCGGAAACACTGACCTGCCAGCCCCACCGATTCTGCAGCATCGACCCAGGGGCTGCTGGGGACCAGGACTATCAACACACCCAGTGGCTGCCGCACAGCCAGGCTGAGAAAATGTGACCTGGAAGGTGATCTCCATTCCCCAGGCTGGCCGCTGTCGCCCAGTGTCCCTGCGCCCCTCACCTGCGGGGCTGTTCTCTTCCTCACACTTGCCCTATCTGGGCGACTTCCATCCTCTGTCTGCGGAAGGCTGCCCTCCTCGCAGCACTCTGTCTCTCCCATGAAAGTTTCTTAAGGGCAAAGGTTGTGACTTCTCATTCTGATAACACGTGGCAACGAACAGCTGCGTGTTGTTGAGATGGGTCTCCCGGTCCAGCCCAGCTGGCCTCACACCCCTGGGCACAAGTGGTCTGGCAGCCCCCTAAGTTGATGGGACCTCAGGGGTGCACTGCCTCCAGAGGTGCTCAAATATGTGAGGACATTAAAATGCCCACATTTACTTGTGGCAACATTTAAGTAAAAAATCCAAGTTACTGGGTGACAATCATGTAATACTCTGTTAGCTGACCACTGACAGACTGTTTAAAAATTCTCACTGAAACCGGGCGCTGGTGGCTCACACCTGTCATCCTAGTGACTCAGGAAGCTGAGATCTGAGGATCACAGTTCAAAGCTAGCTCAGGCAGGAAATTCTGTGAGACTGATCTCCAATGAGCCACCAGAAAACCCAAAACTGAAAGTGAGGCTGTGGCTCAAAGTGGCAGAGTGCTAGCTTTGAGTGAAAGAGCTCAGTGACAGTGGCCAGGTCCTGAGCTCAGGCCTGATGACCGACAACAAACATTCCCACTGAAGCAACAATGAGATGTCAGTTGAAGCCCGCTGGCTAGTGTAACAACAGTTATTGTCAACCACACAGCCGTGGTACCCAGCTTGCAGCAACCAGTGCCGTAGTCCCTCCCTAGCCTTGCCCAGCCGACCCTGCCTCAAAGGTGACCATTTCAACGGGATCAACATTGTGGCAGCCCAGCCACCTGCTCTTCCTTCTTGACTGACCACCCAATGACGTGGCTGTCAGGGTAAGCCTGCCCCATGGGCTCCAGCCCAGATGCTCTCTTCCTAGGCAGTGAACCCATGTCCCTTGTAGAAGCTGTCCTGGCAAGTGGGCACAGGACCCTCAAACCTGTCACTTCAACTTCAGACTGGCAGGTGCAGAGAGAGTATGCTTTGCTGGGAAAAGTGCCAAAGGTAACATACATGGCCAGAAAACCACAGAAAACCTACATGAAAGTGTCCAGAAAAAGGCTTTTTTTTTTTTACCTGATTCAATTTTGTTAAGTATTTTTCTTGCACATTGCATAAAAGCTTCTTCTACGTTCTCTCCTGTCAGTGCGCTGGTTTCTAGGAACATCAGCTCTAAAGGGGACACCAAACAAGACATGGAGGCATGTTTACAAGATTTTTAACTACAAAGAGGCTGTTTATCATTCTCTTAGACTAGAATTCATCACCCCAAACCCTCTCCTCACTGGCTTGTCTGGTCTGGAGGTTTGAACTCAGGGCCTCAGACTTGGTTGGCTGGCTGGTGTTCTACCTCCTAAGGCAGTTTGGCTTTTTGCTGCTGCTGTTGTTTTTTGTAGTCAGTTGTAGGGATTGAACTCAGGGTCTGGGCACTGTCTCTGACTTCTTTTGCTCTGGGCTAGTGCTCTACCACTTGATCCACATTGCCACTTTCAGTTTTCTGGTGGTTAATTGGAGATAAGAGTCTCATGGGCTTTCCTGACTAGGTTGGCTTTGAACCATGATCCTCAGTCCTCAGTCTCCTCAGGAGGTAAATTTCAGGCATGAGCCACCAGCACCTGATGCTGTCTTGTTTGTTTTGTGCTAGTGGTAGGGCTTTACCTCAGGGCCTCATACTTTTGGTTGGGTTTTTCTGATCACATTTAGCATTTTCCACTTGAACCATGCCTCTAGTTCTGGCTTTTTTGCTGGCTAATTGATGCTGAGTCTCTTGGGTTTGTCTGCCTGGGCTGGTTTTGATTATCAGAGCTAAACCTTTTGGGTAGTTGGGATATTGCTGTTTTATTTTTTTTATTTTGGAGATGGAGTTTTGTGGATTTTTCTAGTTGGGCTGGTTTCAAGCCAAAGTGCTCTGTACTTTAGCCTCCCAAGTAGATAGTATTAGGCCTGAGCCACTGGTGCCCAGCTCCCATCTTTTATAAACACAAAGCTGGTGAACGTTCAATTTGTTCTAAGAAACGCTAAAGGGAATATAACCTTTTCTGATCAGTAATTATTGCTTTGTGCTTGGCCCAACCTGTGGACAAGATGAAAGGCTGGCTTTCATAAGCCAGTGCGTGTCAGGAAGGAGGCTAGCTGAAATGGCAATCTAAGGCCTTGATTTATATCCAGCCATAATGTCCTTCTCTCTCTCTCTCTCTCTTTAGTTCCAAGGCTAGGACTTGAACCTGCTCCCTACACTTTTGCTCACTGGCTTGCATTTTACCAACCAAGCTATGCCTCCAGCCCCTAATTTCCTTCTCTCAACGATCTGTACTACCTATGGCATTCACGCTTGCTGGGGGGCTGTGATGCCATTTGCCATGCAGCACATGAGGAAGCCTTACAAAACCAATTCTCCTTTCATCCCCAGAGCAGGGGTGAACAGCCTCCCGATCTCTAGTCCTGCCTGGCAGAAGCAGCCCTTCCCAACTCTCTCACATGAGTGTTGGCTCTGTTCGCAATGCCTCCATGTAAACAGCTGTAGGGGTATGGACCACTCTCCTGTCAGCAGAAAACCTGTTGAGCAGAAAGATCCAATTCTACCCCAGAGTCCAATCAAAACTGACGTTATTATATTCTAGTTCTGGAGTACTTTCAGAACGAAAGCTGTTGTTATTGTGTCCTGTTACTGGTACTTGCCCTCAGGCTCTCACACTCTAATTAGGTAATTTTTCCATTCAAGACTGACAATCTATCCCTTCAGCCACTCCTCTACTTCCTAAAGTTATTTAAGACATCTGAATTTTAAATCACTCTGCTCTCCCTAGCAAGCACTTATTTTATGTGGCAGTATGTCTATTCCGAATGGAAAATGAAAATTTCAAAGTCACGTACAACCAAATGGCTGGCATCATGAGAAAAATAAAGCCGCCCATCCAAGTTTATACAACTATTTTCCTTTCTATTTAAGGTGAATATTTCACCAATTTGGTTTCAAACTACATAAAAACTGCTCTGTCCCAAGACCTCTGTATCCAGAGATTCTAGGCTGAAAAGTCATTAAAGAATGTTAATGCATTTGCTTTCTTCAGTATATTGTGTGTATGCGCGTGCACGTGTGTATGTCTGTGTGTGTGTGTGTGTGTGTGTTCGTGGTGTCCTGGGGCTTGAACTTAGGGCCTACACGCTGTCCCTGAGTTTCTTTTGCTCAAGGCTAGCATTCTACCATTGAGCCATAGCACCACTTCCAGCTTTTTCTGAATAGTTTATTAGAGATAAGAATCTTATAGATGTTCCTGCCTATGCTAACTTTGAACTGTGATCCTCATATCTCAGCCTGAGTAGCTAGGATTACAGGTGTGAGCCACCAGCACCTGGTGTATAGTAACTTTGTAGGCCCAAGGCAGTGTAATGTAAATACACTCAATAAGCCTAAATTTATGATGGAAATTCCACATTTTCTAATATAATTTAATCCCCAAACACCAGGAGGAGTTTTAAAGCCAACGAAATGCCTGGCCCCCAAATCTCCCCTTTCAGAAGCTATAAGAGGCAGGTCACTTGCCATTCTCCTGTGCGAACCTGGAGGCTTCGAGGAAGGTGACTTCCCGGTCCCCGTCCAGGTCCTTCTTGTTCCCGCACAGGATAATCACGATGCTCTGGCTGGCCAGCATTCTGGCATCTGTTAACCAATTAGTAAGCGCATTGTAGGTTTCTCGGCTGTGTGACATAAGATTGTGGAAATAATACATGTATTTTATAAACTAGCAACTCTTTCCAGTCATTCTCACTATGCACACTGACTTTCAATGTCTCCTAGAAGGGCAGCAATGCCTCAGGGGTAAACCAGCAACCTGAACATACATAGGCCATACTGCTGGGTGTGTGTCCTTTCCTTTTCAGCAAAATATGATGCTAAGGCAGGTGCTTTGCTTTTGTCTGCCCAGTCAGAGTTCCAAAGAAGAAGGGAATCATTATCTGTTCCCAGATCTCTCTGAGTGCTTGAGGCCTGTGCTGGACACGTGCTAATGCTGACCACTGCCACCTGGCAGGCCTGTGCATGTGCAGGCACCTTGCTCGCTCCACACAGCTCCAGTGGGGCTCAGTGACAGATCATCAACCCGGCTCTCAGATGCCAGGGCCCAGGCAGGCCTCAGTGTCAGCTCGGCAGACCTGACGTGGCTTGTCCACTACAGCACTGACTCTGATGTGGCCTGTCTACTACAGGACTGGCTGACAGGGCTTGCCCACTACAGGACTGACTCTGGCAGGACCTGCTGAATGGCCTCCTGTGTCTAAGACAGGCACAAGTGATGGCAGAGGCCTTTATACTTGAGCAAGTCTTGTCATTCGAGGAAGGGCAGGAGGCAGGTGCCAGGAGTGGCCACCTCTCTGGAGAAGGTAGCCATATGCCGCCTGCTTCCTGGACAGCTCTCTCCAGGAAGGACCAGACGTTTCCAGGACAGTGTCACAAATCTGGGTCAGCACTGTGGGTGGGATTTCCTCGTGGGCAGGAACCCCACTTTGTGTGAAAGCTGGTCCCATTGTCACCAGCCACATGGGGCATGGAGTGTTGGAAATGTGGCCAGAGCAGCCGAGGCTTGACATTTAATATTACTCATTAGTTCCATCAAGCTGTCACATGTTGCTGACAGGCACCGACATGTACACTTTCTAGCTACCATCTGAGACTTGTGGTGCCTCCAGGGTCATCAGTTATAATGGTTCTAATATGGCGTACCGCTAGCTATGGTAATAACATGATTATTACAGATGATCTTACAGATGAGGAAACTGAGTCCATCCAGCTGAGGCCCAGCCAGCAGGGGTCCCAGAACCAGTGACCAGAGCTGGACTCTGAAGCCAGCCACACAAGCCCAGCGTCTGTGTCCTCAGCCCCTGGGTCCGCTCCTATAACAGAGCTCTGTGGACCTCAAGGTAAGTGCCCAGCATGGAATAAAGTATAAAAAAGCAGGAGTGCTCTGTCTACCCGCAGCTTCAAAGCACGTCTCTCCCTTGCAGAATGGTGGTTAGGACTAACTAAAAACCTCCAAGACATCACCAAAAGGGCGCTAGCCACACAATACACATGTACAGGGACTCTCACCAAGATGGCGGGACACAGACCCCCGGGGGCCTCAGCAACCGTGCTGGCTTACCTGGTGATGTCGTAGACCAGGAGTGCCCCGGCCGCTCCTCTGTAGTAGCTTCTTGTCACAGACCTGGAGGAAGAATGACGTGGGTTTTGTTTTCAATCAGTCAAGATCCTCCAGTGTTCCACACCCATAAAACCTCATTTTCTTCATGAACCACAACATAGGGACGGGCACTGAGAACTGACTCAAGAGATCGACATCAATGTGTTTTCTGGAAAAGTTGTATCACAGTGAGGATGGGGAGAAGGCCATGCTAGGTGGCAGCAAGCAGGACGCTTCCTCTCAAGTGAGGGCATCTTGGAGTGGACAGAGATGTGTCCAGTGGACAGAGGCTTTCCCGTGTGCTGGGAGGGCACTGGGAGGCCAGGTGTGTGGTGACCAGAGGCTGACCCGCGTGCTAGGAGGGCACTGGGTAAGTTCCTGGCTTCTCTGTAAGCCTCCACTTTCCTGTGCCCTGTGCTGCTCCCCACCTTGCTCAGGGCAAAGGGGGGACCCAGAGAGGAGCTGCCTGGCCTCTAGCCGGCGCCCCAGTCACATTGCCCTGCATGCTCCCCTTCCCTCCTTGCTCTGCCTGCACTGTCACAAAAGCACAGGGGGGAGAAGGTCCTTGGGATCCATATTGGCCACAGAATGTGGTCCAGTTAGCTGAACACATCCCCAGAGGAGCACCTTAAAAATTCATCTTCAGAAAGAAAGTATAGGAAGTGGAGGCATGGCTCAAGTGGTAGAGTGCCAGCCTTGCACAGGAAAAGCCAACCCAGAGTAAAAGGCTCTGAGCCCAAGTCTCAGTATTGGTGCATGTGTGCATGCGTGTGCCCACGTGTGCATGCGCACACACACACACACAGATTAAATTAAATATAACAGGACTCAGCCAGGTGCCACCGGTGGCTCAGGCCTGTAATCCTAGCTACTCAGGAGGCTGAGATCTGAGGTTCAAAGCCAGCCCGGGCAAGAAAGTCCGTGAGATTCTTATCTCCAATAAACCACCTGAAAACCAGAAGTGGTGCTGTGGCTCAAGCGGTAGAGTGCTCACCTTGAGCTGAAGAGCACAGGGACAGCGCCCAAGTCCAGAGTTCAAGCTCCAGGACTGACAAAAAAAAAAAAAGAAAAAAGATACAGGATTCTAGGCATTCACATACAGTGAGACCAAAGGTGGCATTCTTAGGGGAGGCACACAAAGGTGCAAGACCTCTGTGCCTCTGATCATAGAAAATAGTAATTATCTTAATGAACTCCAGGAAATGGAAACAAACAAAGAAAGAAAGTGTAGAAAACAAAAACACTTGCACCAGTTCTTTGTTCTGGCTTCAGTCTAAAAGCAGTGTGTGCCCAGTACTCCTGATGTGTCTGTACACACTCAGCTCACCAGGCTGGTGTCTGAACTTAGTCCAGGGGAAGGCTTTGACATTTTACATAGTGAGAGAATACATTGATTTCCAATATCTTTATCAACTTAAGAGAAGAGTCTACCTGAATCGTTCTTGTCCTGCTGTGTCCCATATTTGTAACTTTACATATTTACCACCAACATTTATTATCTTTGAACCAAATTCCACTCCTATTGTATGATTTGAATCATCTTTGACTAAAAAAGAAAACAACAAAGAATATAATTTTGCAACATTAGGGTAACAGGCTCATGTTCAACAAGTTACATTACAAAATCAAGGGCACTGTCAACTTTCTTTACCCATTCATTTCTCATTTTTGTCAGATGCTGGCAAAATTATTCACTTTCAAGGAAAACACAAGTAGCCGTTTGGTATTACTTACATTTTTTTTCAATAAATTGGTGAAGTAAGCAAGATTTGCCAGTTCCTGCATTTCCGATAACCAAGAACTTAAACAAGAAATCTGAAAGACAAAGAGAGATTGTGAGATGTAACTTTAAAATGGGTGCTACAAATCTATTCTTTTTTTTTTTTTTTTAATCAAGGATTAACCTCAGGGCAGGGGACTTGAGCCAGGCTCTCAGCCCAGCTTTTTGCAGGTTGTTTAGACTTTTCTGCAAGGGCTGGCTTCAAACCAAGATCCTCTGGATTAGCCAGGACTATATGCATTACCCACTGGAGCCAGTCTTGAATTTAATGAAATCTTATGTTAGTATAAGAGAAGAGTAAAAACAATAAAATTGACTTTACTTCTTCACATCTCATTTATATTCCTGATTCAGAGATTTTTTTCCCAAGCTGTGCTGTTGAACAACTTCTTTTGAAGTTGGAAAGCTGAATACTGCTCATGGATAAAACTGTGCCTAATAGCCACTATTCAAACAAAGCAGCAAGCAAAATCAGCATAGAAAATTCTGTTATTTTTTACAGGAAAGAAGCCCTCTTCTTCTCTGAAATGGATGCAAGTTCTCGCATGGCAGATCTGCAGGTAGGAGTGAGTTCCCGTGCTGCAGACCTGCAGGTATGAGTTTCCCAGCTGCAGGCATGCAGGTACGAGTGAGTGCCCGCGCTGCAGGCCTGCAGGGTCAAGGTCTTTTCCCTTATTGGTCACTGTAGGAACAGCAGCCCAGGCCAAGTTCAGCTCCATGCAATACGTCTGACTCAATTCTTCACCCACAATCACATAGCTAATTCAGGGTCTTATTTCCACTACAAAGCAGCACTGGGGACACACACTGTTCTCAGCAATTTGCTTCGCTTTGTCTTCACCTACAATGTTTGTTCTGCTCATTCTGGAACAGCACAGCCAGCTCTCCCTCCCTTGGACTAACTGCTGTGTTCATCTCTTGATCTACCACCCCTGCCCACGCTGCCCTGCTCCTGAGGCTGTGAGGCCCTGCTCAGCAGTCCCTCATTTGACCGTGAGGTATAATCTCCAGATAGTTTCCTGGAACAGAGTAAGGCTCCTCAGACCCTGGCCTCCCTCCCTGCAGGTAAGACACAAGAGCGACTGGCCCCGGGCCCAGCCTCATCATCAGTGCTCAGAATGACCACTGCCACACAGACATCAAGCCATTCAGTCTCTCATTATTTCCAAATGTTTGTAGGCAATTAAATTCATAGGAAGCATACTGAGCGAGAAAGCCAGCTTCCTCAGACCACAACTTCACGTTTCCCTTAATGTAGCATTCTTTTTTTGGGGGGGTCCAGTCGTGGGGCCTGAACTCTGGGCCTGGGCGCTGTCCCTCAGCTCTTCAGCTCAAGGCTAACGCTCTACCATTTGAGCCACAGTGCCACTTCCGGCTTTTTTCTTTATGTGGTGCTGAGGAATCGAACCCAGGGCCTCATGCATGCAAGGCAAGCGCTCTACCACTGAGCCACCTTCCCAGCCCTAATGTAGCATTCTTGAAATGACAAAGTTACAGGAAATGCAAGCCGTCCGTGGTTGCCAGGGGCTTACGGTGGCAGGGCAGAGGATGCAGGAGGGTGCCTACAAACACAAGCAATGCCCTAGGTGAATGTCCTTCATCTCCAGCAGCATCCAAGTCTGGCTGAGATGTTGTGGCTCGTTGTGCAAAACGCCCTCATTGAGAAAGATGAGCTGTCCGTGTCCTCTGCTCACAGCAGAGCTGTGGCTGTGGGCTAGTATGGGTCCTCACATGGCCCTTGAAGCCAAGTCTACAGCACAGTATTGGGCGGTCCGCCCCACTCCGCTGAGGCCTGAGGCCTGGGTGAGTTGGTTCCAGAGTTTTCCTTCCTTCCTTCCTTCTTTCCTTCCTTCCTTCCTCCTTCCTTCCTTCCTTCCTTCCTTCCTTCCTTCCTTCCTTCCTTCCTTCCTTCCTTCCTTCCTTCTTTTCTTTTTCTTTTTTTGCGAGTCCTGGGGCTTGAACTCAGGGCCTGGGCACTGAACCCAGGGCTTCATGCATGCTAGGCAAGCACTCTACTAAGCCACATTCCTAGCCCCGAGATTTTTCCTTACTTTCAAGCCCAGAGATCGCCTGTATGACCTCTTTAGTATGGACAGGGCAATCAATAGAGGAATTTCAATTAGACTTGCATTTATACTAATACACTCTGATTTCTACTATAAAGAACATACAAGATTCTCAGTTCCTATTCTAGCCTTTTGTTTCATACTGTGTACCTAAGAGGATCTACTACTTCTTGAACAGAATCAAATCAAAGCCTGGTTCAGCATTCCTGAGGCTAGCCGTGTTCAGGACTGCTCAGAGCACTGAACAGAAGGTTACTAAGATAAGCTGCTCCCAGCTCCCCAAAGAGCCTTCTCCTCTGGTCTTGAATGATGAGACATCTGTAAAAGGCACCACAGGCTATGCACAGATATGCATTTATGTGGTGGTCACACCCATCATCTCTGGTCTGGGCAGGTAAATGAGAAAACCATGGCATCACTAAACATGCATTCTAGATATACTATTCCCAGTTATGAGACAGGACATGCTTGGCTCTTAAGTCTCAAATTGCTCTTCTGTGCGATTAAAAATTTATATATGAAATGATGATAAGCCTCTCTCTAAAATAGTTCTCACATTCATAATTTATTAGCACCTTATGAATAGCATCCATCCTTATCCCATCTAAATATCACTCCTGAAATTCTAGTCCAGATCACCTAAGTAGAAAGAGTCAAAAGACTGAGCCTGCTGTCACAGGAAAGACTGAGCCTAGGAGTGCTGTCATGGGAAAGACTAGGTCCAGGAGTGCTGTCACGGGAAAGACTAGGTCCAGGAGTGCTGTCACGGGAAAGACTAGGTCCAGGAGTGCTGTCACGGGAAAGACTAGGTCCAGGAATGCTGTCACAGGAAAGACTAGGTCCAGGAGTGCTGTCACGGGAAAGACTATGTCCAGGAATGCTGTCACAGGAAAGACTAGGTCCAGGAGTGCTGTTGCGGGAGTGACAATGAGAAAAGAGAACGACACCAGAGTACAAAGGAACTTAAAGGTTAGGCAAACATTCCTTAGCCAAGCATGAGGCAAATGTCTGGAAGGAGTGAACCAGATTGTTTTGTTTTGAGGACCAATGCTGGGCAAATGTGGCCAATGACAAGTGAAGGTGACAGTCATGGCCATGGTTTTGGTAGGCTGGCAGCTTCAATAGTCATACACTTTTTTTCCCCCCATGCCAGTCCTGGGGCTTGAACTCATGGCCTGGGTGCTGTCCCTGAGCTTTTGTGTACTCTATCATTTTGAACCATAGATCCACTTCTGGCTTTTGGTGCTTTTGGAGATGAGTCTCACAGACTTTCCGGCCTTCTGTGAGAAAAAAATGTGTTTTTTATCAAAGGGTGCTGCTTAAAAGTTCCTGCTTTGGATAGTGACCAGGCTCTTGTTAAGGAAAAGAGGAAATGCTTTGGGATAAGGAAGGATTTTTGAAATGTAAGGTTTTGTCTTAAAACTGGTTTCTTTTCAAGATGGAATTAAGACACACTTCAGACTATTCAAGAAATAGCAGAGGGTGCAAATACATTTTGAGATTACTTGTGCACTATTATTTATGTCAATACATTTTATGCTATTCAGACTAGGCAATCACCAGCAGACTGTGAACCTGAGCTCAACCAATCTGAGCAGAGGAGTGGGGCCTGCTGTGTTAGAGATAAATATGGAACAGCTTGTCTGCTCTGTGTGCTTGCTGGCCAGGTTTTTGGCTGGTGGTGCATTCTTCTGCAGAAGCAAATCTTGCCTTGCTGAGACAATTCTTTATTTTTGTGTCTATTGTTGTTATTCCGATGGTTCTTGGAGAACATATTTATACACTTCAAGCTGCGATCCTCAGATCTCCACCTCTTGAGTAGCTAGGATTACAGGCATGAGCCACTGTGCCTGGCTCACTTATTCTTTCCAAGGCTGGAAAGTAAGTAGAAAGTCTGCTTAATTGGGTTTATTTTATTTTATTTTATTTTTTTTTACTAGTTTGTGGTTTTTTTTTAAAAGTTCTCTTCAATTTTCTCCATTGAAAGAAAAGATGAGATTCAGAATTAGTAAAGGTAAAGGCACATGTGGAAGGCACCATAAACTAAGAACGTGATGTCCAGAGCCTCATGATCAGTAGTTAGTTGGTCTGTGATATTTGTCTGAGGCCTCCTACAGCATTACATTTCCTGCAAGAAAGTTTAGGTGCTCAACTCTGACCTGACCTGATCTCTTGCTTGGACTTTCTACCCTTAGTGTTCTTTAAGCAGGTGAAAGGAAAGGAGTGCAAATGTGAAATAAAATAAAAATGGCTCAAGGGCATATTTTGCTAGTGACGTTTATGACTGTGGTTCTCCGTAGAAGTGTCTGACCACTTGAAGGTCACTGGCAGGGTGGACACTATGGTTCCGACAGTCACCAGCTCTTCTGCATGAGTGGACATGGTGTCACGCCCCATGTCACCAGAGGGAGTGGGAGGGTGGGGTGAACCTGGAGTGTGTGCTCAGCACCCACCCTTCCTGGGGACCCTACCTCTCAAATTCCAAGCTTCCAAGGCCCCGCTGCTCCCCCCTTCTTGGCTGTGGGGCCACCCACACCCCACAGGAAGCTACTGCAGTTCTGCCTGCCGACCCTACCCTCCCTGAGGGGTCTGGGGCAGACCACATTCCTTCAGAACCCCCTCGAGCCCCCACCTTGTTTTTCATTATTCAACCATTAGTGTCACAACTGGATTAACACTCCACTCCTCTCTAGACTGTGGGCTTCCCAGAGCCACAGTGCTTGGAGCACTCCTGGCATCATAGTACCAACCGCACACAGGACTGGAAGGAGAGAGGGGGCTGATCTGCTCGTGTGTGTGTGTGTGTGTGTGTGTGTGTGTGTGTGTGTGTGTGTGTATGGTTGTGGGCTTTGTGCTGGCTACACAGGTATTCTGCACTTGAGCCATGTCCTACACCCTTTTTCCTTTCCAAGTAGCACTCCCTGTTTTTGCCAGGGGCTGGTATCAGACCTCCATCTTCCTACAGAAGGCCTCAAAGTAACTGGGGTGACAGTTGTGAACCATCACACCTGTCTTATTGAGATGGGAGTCCTACTAATTTTTTGTCAGGTTTGACTCTGAACCACAATCCACTGGACCTTTGACTCCCAAGTAGTTTGGATTATAGGAGTGATTCACCACACCCAGTTCTGAGGTCCAACACAAAGCAGCCTTCCTGCAGATCAAAGTCCCAACCTGAGGATACATGTACATGCACCTAAAACCCAGCTAGCAGATGGGTCTCAACTCTGATAGGAGTCATTCTTACCACGCAGGGGATAAGAAAAAGCAATCCCACACGTGTACGTGTACTGGGAAGCTTCATGTATAAAATGCGCGCACACACACACACACACACACACACACACACGAAGCTGGGAGAACAAAGATAAAACAGGCTTTAGCTTCCAAGTTTTATGGTCACGAAAAGGAGGTATGCTTATAAATAGCCATAATGCAACCTAGATCAGGCTAAAAAGCCAGAGAGGAGGAGTAAGAGCCATGGGGGAGAGGGAGAACCGTGAAGCCAGAGGCCTGGGAAGGGAGAGGCCTCCTCGGTCTGCGACTCATTGTAATCCCAGTGCAAAGAGAGATTCCGGGCCAGGAAAGGCAAAGAGGGGTGTCTGCAGAGCACTCCGGCATGCAGGCATGGCCCACGCCTTCCTCCCAGGCCACAGAGGTGCCAGGGGTACCCTGTCCCCACACTAGCTCCCAGACCCTGAGATTTTAAATAGGACGCGGAGAAAACAAGGTTGGAACACCTGGCAAACGCAGGAGAAAACCTGAAACAGCGCTGGCCCAGCCTGGCCCCGCGCCGGGCGGGACCCCGAGATCCCGGCCCTGCTCCAGGCACCCGGAGATCCAGGCCCTGCCCCCCATATCCCGAGATCCCGACCCAGCTCAGACACCCCAGATCCCGGCCCTGCCCCCCCCATACCTCGCGATCCCGGCCCTGCCCCAGTCACCCCGAGATCCGCGCCGTATCCCGGACACCCCGAGATCCAGGCCCTGCCCCACTCACCCCTAGATCCCGGCCCAGCTCAGACATCATGAGACCCTGGCCCTGTCCCAGTCACTCCGAGAACCCGGCCGTATCCCGGACACCCCGAGATCCAGGCCCAGCTCAGACCCCCCCAGATCCCGGCCCAACTACGGACACCCAGACCGCCAGAGCCCAGCTCGTTCCCGGGCCCCCAGAAATCCAGGCCTGGCCAGGACCCGCGACCCCGGTCCCCGCCCTGGCGCCGACCTCCCGGGACTCCCGCGGCCCCGCTCCGGATCCCGCGCCCAGCCGTCTACCGTAGGTCTCGGACATGGCCGTCTGCGCCATCCCACGGTGTCGCGGCCCGGCCGGGCTCCGTCCGGGCTCCGTCCGATGCCCACCGCTGGCGCGGGCCACGGGGCTGCGGCCCAGCCGGACTCAGCTCCGCGCACGCGCACGGCCGCCCCGCGGCCAGGCCCAGCGCCCTGGAGAGCCGGGCCCGGTGGGGAGGGGCTGAGGAGGAGGGGTTAGAGGAGGCCGGGAGGGGCCGGAGGGGCGGGGCTGGAGGTGGGTGGGAGGGGCTGGAGGGGACGGGGAGGGGCTGGGAGGGGAGGGGCTGGAGGAGACGGGGAGGGGCTGGGAGGGGAGGGGTCGAAGAAGGGCGAGGCTGGAGGAGGCAGGTGGGCGGGGGCTGGAGGAAACGGGGAGGGGCTGGGAGGGAGGGGCGGGGCTTGAGGGGGGGCTAGTGGAAACGGAGAGGGGCGGAGCTGAAGTAGAGGGGAGGGTGGGGCGGGCTAGTGGGGATGGGGAGGGACTAGGAGGGGAGAGGCTGGGGGAGAAAGGGTGGGCGGGGCTAGAGGTGGTGGGGCGGGGTCGTGGGAGGAGCGGGGCTGGAAGAGAGGGTGGGGCTGGAGGAGACGCGGTGGGCGGGGCTTGAAGAGATGGGGAGGGGCCTGAGGAGGCGGGGCTAGGGGAGCCGGGCGGGGCGGGGCGGGGCGGGGCGGGGCGGGCAGATGGGCGTCCCGGCTCGCACGGTTCAGCAGCCCGCTCCTGAAGCGCTGCAAGAATCCCAATTTCTACAATTATTTTATATCCACTTCTCGCCCAAGGCTCCCAGAGTCGGTTGCTTTCTTGTTTTGTCTTCCGTTTGGTTTGATTGAGGCTCCTGAGCAGAGTCGACTGCTCCTGATTAAAGCGCTTCCGTGGCGAGCTCGTGTCCGGGGCAGAAAGAGACAGGCGTCGGCTGGGGGTGGGGGGCGAGGGGGACGACGCTGGGACCCTTCAGCCCGGCTGGGGGGACGACGCTGGGACCCTTCAGCCCGGCTCGGTGGGGGGCGCTGGGACCCTTCACCCCGGCTGGGGGGGGGACGACGTGGGACCCTTCAGCCCGGCTGGGAGGGGGCGCTGGGGGCCTTCAGCCCAGCTGGGGGGGCGCTGGGACCCTTCACCCCGGCTGGGGGGGGGACGACGTGGGACCCTTCAGCCCGGCTCGGTGGGGGGCGCTGGGACCCTTCACCCCGGCTGGGGGGGGGGACGACGTGGGACCCTTCAGCCCGGCTGGGAGGGGGCGCTGGGGGCCTTCAGCCCAGCTGGGGGGGCGCTGGGACCCTTCACCCCGGCTGGGGGGGGGACGACGTGGGACCCTTCAGCCCAGCTGGGGAGGGGTGCTGGGGGCCTTCAGCCCAGCTGGGGGGGCGCTGGGACCCTTCACCCCGGCTGGGGGGGGGACGACGTGGGACCCTTCAGCCCGGCTGGGAGGGGGCGCTGGGGGCCCAGAGGAGCGGGCTCTGAGCACGCGGTGGTGCTCGAACGCCCAGGCCGCTGGGACCTCGATGCCCATTCGCGGGCTCGTGGGGCACTGCGGAGGCCTCCGGCCCGTTTGCCATTTGCCACCGGACAGAGTGGTCCTGGCGATGCGATGAACCCGCGCCTGCTCGGGGGCGTCCGGCCGGGCGGCGGGCTGGGCTCCGGGGCGTCCGGCCGCAGGAACCAGCTGTCCGGAGCATCACACCCGGCTGGGTGCGGCTGCTGTGGAGCTGGGGCTCGCGCGGCTCCCACGGACCAGGGGAGCGGAGCGGAGGAGCTCAGCTCCCCGTCGCTCTGCAGGCGAGGCGGGCGCCTCCTCGGGGGCTCGCGCGGGTCTGGAGGTCTGGCTCTTCGTACGTCGCGGGGTGGCGGCTCTGGGTTCCGTAGTTCAGGAGGCGTCGCTTCCCTCGTCCCGACTCACCCGCCAGGGAGGTGGTCCACGGAAGGCGCTCAGGCGCAGCGCCCCCCGGCCGGCACGGACGCCGGGCTTTGCTGTGCTGGGCACTGTCCCACCTTGTGATCGTCTCTGTGCTGGGGCTTGAAGTCAGGACTTGGGCGCCGTCCTCGCGCTTTCCCCTCAAGGTTAGGGTTCTATCACTGAAGTTTCCGGTTTTCTGGTGGTTTATTGGAGATAGGAGTCTCACGGACTTTCCCGCCCGGGCTGGCTTTGAACCGTGATCCTCAGGCCTCAGTCTCCTGAGTAGCTGGATTACAGGCGTGAGCCACCGGCGCCTGGCTTAACACAATGTATCCTGTCAACCTTTGAGAGCAGAGTTCAGTGGCGTTAAGTACATTTGCGTTGTATTGTCCTTGGGAGGGCTTTTAGTGGAAATTTTTCAGACATTTCCTGATCCTAGGTCCAGTTTCCTGGACCTGGCAGTGGCAGTAATGGCGGCTTCTTCTTTCTTCTTCTTCTTCTTCTTCTTCTTCTTCTTCTTCTTCTTCTTCTTCTTCTTCTTCTTCTTCTTCTTCTTCTTCTTCTTCTTCTTCTTCTTCTTCTTCTTCTTCTTCTTCTTCTTCTTCTTCTTTCTTCTCCTTCTCCTTCTCCTTCTCCTTCTCCTTCTCCTTCTCCTCCTTCTCCTTCTCCTTCCCCTTCCCCTTCCCCTTCCCCTTCCCCTTCTCCCTTCTCCCTTCCCCCTTCCTCCCCCCTTCTCCTCCTCCTCCTCCTTCTTCTTAGAGATGATGTACAGAGGGGTTACAATTACATAGATCATGAGTACATTTTTTTTCTTTTTCTTTTTGCCAGTCCTGGGGCTTGAACTCGGCCTGGGCACTGTCCCTGAGCTTCTTTTGCTCAAGGCTAGCACTCTACCCCTTGAGTGATAGTGCCACTTTTGGCTTTTTCTGTATATGTGGTACTGAGGAATCAACTCCAGGGTTTCATGCGTGCTAGGCAAGCACTCTACCACTGAGCCACCTCCCCAGCCCCTACATTTCTTTCTTTTTTTTTTTTTTGTCGGTTGTGGGTCTTGAACTCTGGGCCTGGGCACTGTCTCTCAACTCTTCGGCTGAGGCTAGCAGTCTACCCCTTGAGCCACATCACCACTTCCAGTTTTCTGGTGGTTAATTGGAGATAAGAATCTCACTGACTTTCCTGCTTGGGCTGGCTTTGAACTGCGATCCTCAGATCTCAGCTTCCTGAATAGCTAGGATTACAGGCGTGAGCCACTGGCACCTGGCTTCTACATTTCTTTTTGAACGATGTCACCTCTTCTCTCATTTTCTCTGTTTTTTTTTCCTATTATTATTTTGATATGTTTGCTAATTTCCCTGTCACTCTAGCATTGCTGCAGCTACATCTCCCACCTCAGCATTGCTGCAGCTACATCTCCACCATCCATGTCCAGAACTTGTGTCCTGCAAAACTGAATCTGATCCATTAACACTGACTTCCCCCTCCCTCTTCCCAGTCTCCGCAGACCCCATTCTCCTTTCTGCCTTGAATCCAACCATTCTAAGGAAGTTAGGTAAGTAGAATCAGACAGCATTTGTCCTATTGTGATGAGTTTATATCACCCAGAACAATGTCCTTAAGGTTCAACTGTGTTGCAACATGCACCAGGATGTCTTTTTAAGATTGAATAATATTCGATGTGTTGTATATATGTACCATGTTTTCAGCCAGTTCTTTTAAACTGATTTAAGCAATAAGAAAAAAACAAACCTATACTATCCACATGGTCTCACACCAGGGCTCCTGGTGTTATTTTATTCTGCCTAAGGGGCTTCCTTTAACCAATCGTGAAGCTGAATATGTTAGAGTCTTCCAGTTTTCTATGCTTAAAAAGGTCTTAATCCCAACTTTTTAAATGATTTTTTTTTTGCTCAGTTTTGATAAAAAGATAGTGTTTACTGTTGTTCGGCTTTCATCTCTGTCTGCTCTTAAGATTTTCTTTTTCTCACTGAGTTTAAGTAGTTTGTCTTGTTCCTTGGACTGCTTTTCTTCATGCTCCTTGTCCTTAGTTTTCATCAAATGTCAGTCTTCAAGTTTATAGTGTTCATCTGATTTGGACTTTTTGTTGACCATCACTTGTTTCTTCAAACTCTTCGCTCCTCCTCTCTTCTCCTAGCCACTCCGCTGTATATTGTATTAGGTCACTTGACTTTGTTTCCTAGAAGATGGATGCTTTCCTCACTTTTGGTTAGTCTTCACTTGTGTGTCATTCCTGTAGTTTTGCCTTTAAGTGTTTTCTGTTTCCCATGGTGCATGCTCTTCCGGGCACTGTACTTGCCTTTTCTGGATTTTCCTTGTTGTGACTCTCTTCAGCGTGTGCATCTTGGTTCTTGCTCTCCCTGGTAGCTTTCAGTGTACGCAATGTGGTTCTCTAGTTTCTCCTGGATGCCTTTTCTCCTCACGATGGGAGAATTTCCTGCTTTACAAGCTGGCTGGCTGACATTTTGTTGAAGGCCAGACATGGAGACATTTACTTTGAGACATGTAAATTATGTTTGAACTTTGTTCTGAACTGTACATAAGTTGCTTAGAAGGTGCCCAGTGCCTTCAGATCTTGTTTTAAAGATATATTTTGGTGGTTTTCAAAAGCAGTCAATTCAATACAATTCCTTGGTATGTCACTGTGATTAGTGGGCTTGGAACAATTTTCTTCGGTGCTGAGATTGAACATAGGGCCATGCAGATGCTGAGTGGGTGCACAAGCAGCAGAAGTTGTGTTTGTTTTTGTTTTTGTTTTGAGGCTGCCTTGCACCTCCTGTTTTAGCCTGCATGTAACAGGGACCACAGAAAGGTGAGCACCTGCTGGGGGCCCTGGGACTTCCTGGTCAAAATGTAGTTTGGTGGATCATTGTTTCAGTCCTTGTTTTGGGAGAGGTTCCAGAGAGGCTGTTACTTGAAGGCAGAAAACAAGCTTCTGCTGCCTGGTGGGTGCTCTGTGCTGTGGAAGCTCTGTTGTTTCTTAGGCGTGGTCCCAGATTCTAAGGTGAATGCAGAGCGACTGTACAGAGAATGATTAAAGGACCCACAAAATGGAGGCAGAGATGTCAAGCTTTTCTCCTGCTGAGTTAATTCAATCACCACACACATAGTGAGTGCTTTTAGTGAATTCATGGACCATGTACGTAGTCAGTGCTTTTTGGAAAAGCAGCTTTTTTTTTTTTTTTT